GAACCATCGGCGGCCCAAAACTCCAAATTTGTTAGAACCATGTTGCAACGGCAGCAGCAAGTAGTATCCTTGAGCGGTTTGTATAACGAGTGTGTGCCAATGTAAACAAGTTGTTTTTTGTTTTGTTACTGTCTTTTTTTCCAACTGTCAACTTGTGTGTCACTTTTATTCTCTTTTTGTTGCGCGTTGCTGTTGTTGTTTTGTACTGTACTTTTTTCTTTTGGTGTGTAGAATTCACTTAAAGTTTATTTTTTGTTTAAATATTTCTTTCTGCTGGTTTCTGGTTGTTGTTGTTTGAACGAGATCTGTTTTTAAACTAAACGTAAAAACGAAATTAAAAATGTTATGGAAATTTTTTGTTGCTGCTTCGTTTTTTGGTCGATGAAACCACATTTACACAAAACACAGGCGGCAATGAACGGGCAAGCGCAAGCAGAGGTTCCCTTTTCCCCGCGTATTTTTATATGTAAAAAGTATTGTTAATTTGTTTCTTCAGTCGTTCAATCAATGACCGGTAAACAAAAAAAATACACGAAATTAAATTAAAAGAATAAACCTTCTGCTCCCCCTACCACAACACACTTCTTCGCTTTTGCAATTACTGCTGATTTCTGCACAAACAGGCAAAACCAGGCAGGCATTCAGTCACACACAGTAAAGAATTATTGCAGCAGCAGCGGCAGAAAAAAAAACAAAACATTCATTGATATTTCTCTCCCCCTTCCTGTGTAAAACAGCAACAACAACGCCAAAAATAAGCAATGGGAAAAAAGAACCGTTGAATTTATAATTGTTGTTGTTGCTGTTGTTTAGCAGCGGCGGCTTCGTTGCTTTTATATATGTATGTATATATTTTGCCAATTAACAAATCTATATATTTACTCCTTTTCGTAATAGTATTGCTGCGGTAAGCAGAACACCTTCAACTTTTGCTTTTTTATTAATTAAGAAACACGTTTACGCTTGTCCGTTCACACATAACACACACACTGTCTGTTTGGTAATTGTTTAAACAATAAATTGTCTCATTTCTTGTTTTGTATTTGTTTTATTTTTTTCTTGTTACTTTTTTTGTTTTTATATATGTATGTATTTTTCTAATTTGTTTTTATGTAAAGCCGCTTTAATTCGGTTTTTATTTGAGTTGTTAGTACGCGCAGTTTGGCCTGAGTTTCGGTTTTGTCGTTACCACTTAAAAAATACTACTAACTTTTTGAAACAGTTTGCTTGGTCGTATGCTGTGAACCGGCTCGAAATTAAAAGCGAACCGACCTAAATGAAAAACGTTCCATCTGTCACAGGAGAGAATGCCATATCGATATATCGCTTATGGTAGTAAACGATAGGGTGAAATTTAGCAATTTGGCGCCAAATGCAACGGCATTCAAATTTTAAAAAAAATAAAACAACAAATGTGTGTTTTTTGCTCAGTTACAATTTTTAATAATAAAATAAAGGCATATTTAATGAGCTTTTTGAAATTTAATGAAAAATAATTTTTTGATGGCAATTTTAGTGATTTTAAAAGCTGCCAAGGGCTAAAGTGGCAGAAAAATGTTGTGATTTTAAAAGCTGACAAGGCTAAAGTAGCAGAACATTTTACTCTGACCAATGATCATGGTAATGTGCATTACTTCTATTGTTTTTAACAAAAAAAAAAAAAAAAAATTCTTCTCCTAAAAGTATGCAATTTCGAGATTTTAAAAGCATCCAAGGCAAACGTGGCAGAAAAATATCGTGATTTTAAAGGCTGCCAAGGCTAAAGTGGCAGAAAAATTTCGTGATTTTCAAGGCTACCAAGGCTAAGGTGGCAGAAAAATTTACTTTGACCAATTATCATGGTAATGTGCATTACTTCGATTTAATTCGTGCTTAATTTAATATAAATCTAAAAAATTCACACTTTTGAACAAAAAAACTACTTCTCCTAAAAGTATGCTTACAAATATTTGTTTAAAAAAATATGACAAATGCTGGAAAATGAAAAAAAAAACTTATTTTTTATGAATATTACTAGTCGAACTTTAAATATGCCTCATCAGTCAACATGACTTTTCGTTGGATGAAGCAACGGACCATTCAGCTTTGATCTTAAAAACTTGAAAAATAAAACTGGGCAATTTAAAATACAACCTCGTTATTTAAAAATCGTTCTTTTTTTCCTCAATTGACATTACATTATTGACAATTAATATTTCCCCAGCTCTGACTTGAACAAATCGATGGTCAATGTCAGCAATCGATTATTCACAACACAAACAGCTGATCATTGGTTCAATAAGAAAACCATTCTTTTGGAAAATAGAGTTGGCTTTTAACTTAATTTGTATTTGAAGATAGTTAGCTTTTCCCATTTCAGAGTACTTAAATGAGCTATTTCGTTACTTTCTTACATTAATTTATCTATTAATTCATAGTTTTATAACATAACAAATAGAAAATAAATAACGACATTGTTGTACCTAGTTCCATAATTCATTGCGTGTATCAATTTGCTAATCGCCTGTGAACAACACATTAAATCGATTGTCAATGACAGCAATCGATTAACACAAACAGCTGATCATTGGCGCAATTGGAAAAAACATTCTTTTGGAAGTTGGACTTATTTAATTATAAATGGAAGGTGATAGCTACATCTATTTCTGGACTCTTTAATAAGTTAATTCTTTATTTAAGTACAATGGTTTATCTATTAATTCATTGTTTTATAACATAACAAAAAGAAGAAAAATCACAACATTCTTGTGCCTAGTTCCTTGGTTCATTCCGTGAATTCATTTTGCAATTGAACTAAACGCCTGTGAACTACACAACACGGTAGTTAAGTAATTTTTTGAACAAAATTTTCTATTAAAATATAATTCAAAATAATGTCTAATCCTGGTGAAAAGGCTCCAAATATCAAATACGCTGAAGGAAAAATCGATAAAGCCCAGCTGGAGTTTATGAAATTGATTGAACAACAGAATTTGGAACGGGTACAAAAACTAAAACGTGTTAGACGTAATAATTTGTTAACAGCCGGCTCCCTGATATTCTCCGTGGTGGGCATATATGCCTATTCCATTTATTCGGTGAAACAAGAGAAATTTTTGGACGATTTTGAAGAGCCGAAAAAAGTCAACACCAATTAAGAGTGGTATAAAAAAACAAAGATTATTTAGTTTTGTAAGAAAATTTATATATAGTTTACACACTCGTCGTTATCCTTGTTTTGCAATTGGAAGTTTTTGTTGTATAATCAACATTTTTTTGCACATATATTAATTTATAAAGAAGGACCTGATCTGTTGGATTTTTAAGGAAAAGTGAAAAAGTGAGGTTAGTTGAGTGTTTTTGTTATTGTTGTAAATTGTCCCATGATTAATGTTTTTTTATTAATTTTTTTCTAGCTCAAAAAATGTCTGAGGCAGCTGTTAGAGTACTAAAATCCGGCATGCGTTTACCACCCTTGCCTACCGTACGCGATTTGGTGAAATTGTACCAACTGCAGGCTTTAAAACAATTATCCCAAAATTTTCTTATGGATGAACGTATCACCGATAAAATTGTAAAATCTGCAGGACGTATTGATAGCCGTGATGTGGTTTTAGAAGTTGGTCCTGGCCCAGGAGCCATCACACGCTCCATTTTGAGACGTTCTCCACAACGTTTAATTTTGGTGGAAAAAGATCAACGCTTCCTACCCTCCCTGGAATTGTTAAAAGAATGTGCTAAACCCTTGGATCTGCAGGTTGACATCCACATCGATGATATTCTGCGTTTCAATATGGAACATCATATACCTGATACCGCGCAACGTTTACATTTAATTGGCAATTTACCATTTGCCATATCAACGCGATTAATTATAAATTGGTTTGAAGATCTATCGCTGCGTCGTGGTGCATTCCGCCGTAATGACACCTGCATGACATTGACGTTCCAAAAAGAGGTTGCCGAACGCATTTGTGCCAATTTGGGTGATAAACAAAGATGCCGTTTATCGGTGATGTCCCAGATATGGACCCAGCCTGTTATGAAATTTATAATACCCGGCAAGGCGTTTGTACCCAAGCCAGAAGTTGATGTGGGAGTGGTGAAATTGATACCCCTAAAGCAGCCTAAAACTGATTTACCATTTGGTTTGGTTGAAAAAGTGGTGCGGCACATATTCAATATGCGTCAGAAATATTGTCGTCGGGGTTATGGTACACTGTTCCCACCACAAGATCGGGATGAGATATGTTATGAGCTTTTCAAACAAGCTGATGTTGAGGATACTCTAAGGCCCTTCCAGTTGTCTGTGGATGAGTGCCTGCGTTTGGCCACAGTCTATAAAGAGTTTGTGGATGCCAATCCCGATATAGCCCAGTATGATTTTAGAGCTCAAAAAAATCCTCCAATGGAAATGTTAAACGATGATTATGTGTAAAAAATTGAACAACAAATTTTCAATTATTTTTTTTTTGTCATGTAAAAAAAATATTGTTTATTTTTTTCTTTTTAATAAAAATCTACTATATATGTAAAAATATAAATTTATTATTATTTTTTTTTTGTAAAGTATGGAATGTTAATACATAGAGATTCTAAAACAAATTGTAAAATTTGATTATAATTTGTTGCTCATGGACGGAATAATGTTTCACTAAAGCTAACAGGTGGATGTACATATTTGAATATAATCAATTTTTTATAAAATTTATTTTCACAATTTTAAAAAAATTTTAAAAATTTGAAAATGTGAATTTTCTCAATAATTGTTTGAAAATTTATATTCATTCCTTTGAAAAAGGCAATTCAAATTTCCAAATTCCCAAAATTTTTACGAAATTGTGATTTTTTCTATAATTTAAAAATGTATCTCCATTAAATACTCATCCACTTCGAGAAAAAAATACATTTTTACTAATATGTACTTTTTTTCAAAAAATTTGATATTCGAGTTGAACTAAAGGCACATTTTGGTCTTAATTACTTTGAAGAAAATATTGAAAATCTAAATCTCAATATCTTTAATACCAAAACATTCGAATTGCCATAGCTATCACTGCACTAACTAAACCAAAACCAATTGCTGCACGATTCTGCTCAGCACTATTGCAACGATGATCCAAGAAACAAAAACAATACTTAACATCGGTGAAATAATCACGTCTCACATCATGTTCCTTAATTGTGTGATTGACATAATGGGCCAGGCGTACATCCTTGGCAGCGGGATAGCAGCCTTCATATTTATCCGCGGGGATATCGGTACGGAAACTCAGGGCACTCAAACAATCACGTATAATTGTTTCTTGGGCTAAAAACAAAACACAATTTTAATTATTTAATTAAAATTTATAAAAATTCCCTTACCTCCCCTCCTCTCTGTAACCTTAACACAAATATCGTTGCTTTCCGGACACTGTTCGCCCAAAAAACCAATGCCACGCCAATTGAAAGTTTCACCACATCCTGGGGTGGCCGAAGTACAGCGATAACACCAAATAGCCAGGCCTATAAGAAAAAACCACCAACAACAACAACAAAAATGTAAACATCACAAAATTCCATTCATTCATTGATGACATCGTCGTCTCACCTTCTTTCATGCACAGACAAAATATAACAAAAACAATGGCTAATTCCCGTTTCATTTTATATTAATTCTTTTAAATAATCTTTTAGTTAAATATTCAATAATTTATAAATTAAAACAAAGCAGGAATTATATTAAAAACAATGAAAACAAATGACAAAATCACAATGCTAATAAAAACACTACGCCCTTGATTAGGGTTAACTAGATCGATTATGAAGTAATCGATTAATCGTTGATGGGAGAGAGTCGGAAGGCGCCATACTACAACGCCGTTATGTTATGTGTGGTGCTACCTAATTAAAAAACGTATTTACACGGTTTGTTATGGGGAATAGTGGTAAAATACAAACAAAATAAGTAATTTAAATGAAATTTAACAAGATTAGAAAAGAAATTATGGAAATTTAAAGTAAAATTTTTATAATTAGAAGTAAAAATATCAGAATAATTAATTTTTAATGAATAAATGACAAAATAGAAGGGAATGCCAATTTAGATGAGAAACAAATGATATTCTATTACAAAACATGACTGAGGCCATATTTACACCGAATGCGTTTTATGATAGCGGCGCGTTTAGACTATGTCTTCTAAATCAACTCGATTTGTTAATCGAGGCACAAAATCCTGAATGTGTAGACTAGAATTAATATAAAGATGATTTTTTTTATTAACTCCACTCTTTCCTGTCTGACATCAAGATAATTTGTCAGCTGTTATTTGTTGTTCGGTGTTTTAATAATTTCTGTAAGAATTTTTTAATAAATATTTTCATAAATTTTACAGGAATTGTTCTACATTAGTTAAAAAATGCTTAAAAACATATGTAGTTTTAAATTATAGCAATTTTCGTTATAAATTTAAAATAAAAAATAATAAAAATTTTTAAACTGCAGCCACATTTTTATTTTGTACCTTTTTGAATTTTAACGTATTTTCAAGTGTAAATAGTTGCGATTTTTGTACATTTTGGGAGAAGTGATGCATTTTCGGGTGCAAAATCAGGGTTTTTTTTTTTTGAAAATAAACTTGATTAAGCACAGGATTTCAAGAAAATCGAAGCACTCAGCAGATTTAATTTCGAGGTAATATCAAATCGATTTAAGGCGCATTGCCTTCTAAATCGAATCGATTTTTTTAATCGAGGTACGAAACTCCAGCTGTTTAGACTAGGATTTGATATGTCGATTTACAAATCTAGTCGATTTAGAAGACATAGTCTAAACGCGACCTTAACAAGCCATAATTCGATTATTTCTCATTTAGCGTTCAAAAAGCCTATTGAAATGAGACATCAGGATTACTTCTTCAGTTGTGAAGGAGAATGTGCCTGTGCCCAAGCCGTCAGTTTGATTTTTTACTCTTTGATGAAATGTCTGAACTTCATTCTGACTACTGTACATCTCGATTTGCTTAAGCTCAAGTTTTTCTTGTAACCCCTTTTTTAAACACTTTACGATTCTAATTTTTGTTCCGATTTTTATGTACCTTATGCAGATGAATTCCTATTAGAATTTGTGGAAATACTTATCAGATGAGTGGAAATATAATCCGGTAAAAAATAACAGATGACTGGTTTTATATCATTTTTATACGAAATCCCAGCCATCGCACAATAAATTGGTACTCCATTTAGCTGTGTGGAATTGTAATCGTGTAAATAAATATCAGCTGACAGGCTTTGTGTAATATTAATACTAAATCCCAGCCATCGCACAGCTGACTATCCGTTTAACTGTCAAAGTGCATAATTTCTACCATGATCTATTAATAAGGACACCCAGCAGGTGAAAGTCAGCTGTTTTTTATCAAGTCTAATCAAGGTCTATCAATAAGGTCTCCCAGCTAGCGAAATTCAGCTGTTTTTTTTCTCAAGTCTTATGTCAAAAATATTGTTAACGTTTTTATAATGGAAGTCACGCCTTTGGAAGACATCGAAATAATGTTCTTTAAAAAATATTCCTTTAAAACTCCATGCCTTATAAAGACCTCGCAAAAATAATCTTTAAAAACTTCACGCCTTTTAAAGACTTCGAAGAAATAATCTTTAAAAACTCCTCGCCTTATAAAGTCCTCGAAAAAAATAATCTTCAAAAACTCCACGCCTTATAAAGACCTCGAAGAAATAATCTTCAAAAACTCCACGCCTCATAAATACCTGGAAAAAATAATCTCCAAAAACTCCACGCCTTATATAGACCTCGAAAAAATATTCTTAAAAAAACGCATTCTATAGACCTCGAAAAAATAATCTTTTAAAATCCACGCCAAATTTTTTGATTTTGTTTATGTTTTCAATTCACAGTAATGGATTTTGCCATTCACAATAATGAATTGATAGACCTTCGACATGCAATGTTGTCAACCATGGGAAATAGTACTAGATACAATTTGACAGATGATCGAATTAACAAAACATATGTTTTTGTGTTGTTCTATCACATTATAATAATCAGCTGTTTAGATTGTTATTAAAATGATATAAAGACAGTCAGCTGATATTTGTTTTATCGAGTCGGTTGAACCATGAGAACTATTACTAGATAAAATTTGATAGATGGCTGCATAAGAAACAGATGTTTTTGTTTTGATACATTACCTTATTATTGCATTATGCATCAAAACAAAATTTTTTGTTTTTGTCTCGACCATCTGTCAAATTTTTCCTTTAAATATTTCACATGGTTGGCAACATTGCAAATCGAATTCAAGTAGAAATTACTCACTTTGATAGTTAATGGAGACATCAGCTGCATTAAATGGAGTACCTATTTATTGTGCCATGCATTTAGCTGTCTATAAAGTCAGTCAGCTGATATTTGTTATAGAAATCGAGGCGATTTTACACATATGTTTACATATACCCTATTTTATAAAATACCTCATTTAAATTTGTCAATTTTTCTTTAAAGAACTGTGAAAAAATTGCCACTCAGCTGATATTAATTTTAGAAATCGAGTCGATTTTACACATATGTGCACATATAACCTATTTTAAACACGTCATTTAAATTGTCAATTTCCCTTTAAAAACATGCCAAATTATTGACATTTTGTTGCCAAGCAGCATTTTTTGGCTATGAAATTCCTCATTTATGACTTCAACGAATTTATTTGGAATTTTTCTTTTAAATCCAACTTTGATCCAATGTATTAGTCAATATGAAATATTTTCAAAATCTTTAAAACCCAAAAAAGATTTCACAAACTTATAAAACAAACCGCAATGAATCAGCAAAAACAATCTTTTGATGTTTCAATTCAAATGGCCACAAGTATTCCCAAGTAATAGAAATTTTAAAAATCATTTCATGTGAATAGTAATTACCTACTATGGTATTGCGGTTTTTAAATTTCAAAAAAAAAAATCTCATTTGTTCCATTTTGCAGCAGTAGTAAAAAAATCCAAACAAATATCCAAAAAACCACAAGACGTCATTGATTGAATTTGAATATGTATTTGGCTTAAAGCAAATTTTTGCTGTTATAATTCCATACATGGTTCAATCAAATGCCATAGAGAAAAAAAGACGGAGTCATTCTCTCAAATATATAATTTGTGATCTACATATAGGTACGTACGTAGCATGCTATAAATATACATATACGTAAGAAACATCGGTTTTTATGGCCAATTGTTTTGTGTGTTTTTGCCTTTTTAATATTCTTGGTGATGAGTCAGTCAGTTTTTTGAAGTATTGTTCTGTCAGTTTTCGCACGTAGCCTCGGTTTGCTGGGTAAAGTTCTTTTTTTCGATTTTGTTGATCGTTATGTGTGAAATTTATGTTTGATTTTTTGTAATTTTAATTTTGAGTTCAATAAAAATTTACAATTTATTTGTTTGGTTGTGCTGTAAATGATAAGTAAGCAGAATGTCAATGTCATAAGAAAGATTTGATTTTTTTGAAAGAAAAATTAATTAATTTTTTAAGAAAAAGTGACTTTCGAAATTATTAAATTAAAATATCGTAATAGAAAAATTAAAAAAATATTCACAACATAATGTTAGTACTGAGAGAATAATAAGTACTTTGAAAATCAGCTGATTGGGGTTTAAACAAAATGTCAGTGTCAAGATATATTAATAAGATCACACAGCTAGCAAAAGTCAGCTGTTACCTAATGTCAAAAATTTGGGCTTTGTTTACGTTTTCATAATGGAAGTCAATTCACAATAATGGCTGATAGCCAGCTGGTCACCCTGGATGACCTTATTAATAGACCATACTCAGTGTCAATGAGAACAATAGGTACAAGGACTACTAATAAGGCCATCCAGGGAGACCAGCTGTTTCTTAAGTTTGCAGCTAAAATCCATTATATCGCCCAGTGTAATTACGGCCAGAATAATAATAAGTGCTATCAAAATCAGCTGATAGAGTTTTAAATAAAATGTCAGTGTTAATGTGAACAATGGGTAAAAGGTCTATTAACAAGGTAATCCAGGTAGAATAGCTGCAAATCAGCTGCTTCTTAAATTTGCTGTCAAAAACCATTATTGTGAATTGACTTTCATTATGATAACGTCCAAATTTTTGACACTAAACTTTTTTTTTTTTTTTTGCTAAATTATTGGTCTGTTCCCGTACTCCAAGAATCTATTAGTTTTTACTATTTTTTTCGATATCATAAAGGAAAATCGGTTATCGTAGTAAAAAGTAGTAGATTCTTGCAGTGCGGGAACAGACCATATATTTAGAAATAGTTGTAAAACGGCATACACATTAGAACTTTTTACCGGGTTGACCTACTTTATGAAGATTTATTTGACAAATATGTAAAGGAATTGACAGTTGAAACCCACTGGGTTAACGTAATCCGGTTAAATGTAAACATATTATAATATTATTTATGCTACGTGGAGTAGGTTTATCTTTTAAGGAAAATTTAATTGTGTACGATGTACATTGTAATTCTGTTCATTAATGGGTTTGATAGCCTTGAATTACATATGGAATAAACGAAATGAAATGAAACATAAAAATTTTATTGCTTTATAATTTTTGTGACAATTTTTAAATAAAAATATTGATAATTTAATCCAAATTGCACTAT